CTCTTCTTCTTTCTCCCCCTCTCTTCCTCCTTCTCTTCCTTCTTCTCCTTCTCCTTCTCTCCCTCTCTCCCTCTCTTCACCCTTCTCCTTGTTTGAGGCTTTTCCTCAGCCTTTCTCCCTGTTCCTCAGATTCTCTTTCTGCCCCATCTGTCTGTGCTGCCCACCACTGCATCACCCTAACACCAGCCCCATCTTCCAGGACTCATCTGGCTTCTCTCATGTCCAGCCGCCTGGAGATCTGCATACACATATTCTCATGCCTGGCTTTCTCTCATGTGCACCTCTGCTCAAAAATATCCTTTGGAGAAAAATCTTATGCCCTTTGCAATTCAAATAAAAGGCCAAAGCCTGCCTCTAGAATAGCAGTGCCTGGGACCAAACCTCACTGGTCTTTGAAAGACATAAGGCACAAGGCTGCAGTGGTCCCCAGAAGCCCCCAGTGCAATCCTGGGCCCACCATACACCCTGAAATGAGCCTCCAGAAGGAGAATATTGTGCTCTGGAGCTGTCGGCTCTGTGCAGCAAGGGCGCCCTGTGGCCTCCTAATTCTGCCAAGCCTGTTGTCACAAAGGCCTCTTTGATCACAATAAGTTGTGAGCTTATGGGATGGACCTGAGAGGGAGGAGGGAGAGGAGCAGAGAGTGAGACAAAGCTGTGAAGAGGTTCTGGGGGTGGGTGTGAAGAGAACAGCAGAGGAGCCAGCAGCCCTGGGCTGCCCAAGGCTCCTGAGGAGCAGCTGATGGCTAAGAGCACCAGCTAACAAGAGCTAAACCTGCACTGCTCCACTGTGACAAGCGTCAGAGAGACAACGTCGTTTAACCCTCCCCACAGTGCTGGAAGTAACAGACTCATGTATGGGAAGTTGAGGTGGGGGTGGGGAGTGGGGACTGGATCCCTCAGCCACTGTCACATAGCTCAGGGGCCTCATTCCTGAGCCCAAAGCCTGGAGTTTTGGGGATGGAAGATGTTGCTCTCCCGGACTGGCCAGTGCCTCCAGCCATGCTCACTCCTACTGCAAGTTCTCCGCCCTCTCCGAGTGCCCTCTGGGAACTGTGCAGCAGCCTCTCACACTGCTCCCTTCTACAGAATGGATCCCTGCAACCCTGTGCATTCAAGGAAACAGAAGGTCTGGTTGCTGTGGAAAATGGGTAAGGCATTCGTCAGCTTTCCTTCACTGGAACAAATGACCTGACACTATAAGAGGAGAGCAGGAAGGTTTATTCTGGGGCACAGTTTTAGAGGTTTCTGTCTGGGGTTGGCTGTCTCCCAGGCAGGAACATCATGGCAGAGGGGACCGAGGGGAAAGGAAACAGAGGCAGAAGGAAAGAGCCTGAGGAAAGGTACCTTCCAAAGCATGTCCCGGTGACCTGCTTCCTCCAGTTCCCCTGACTCCACCTCCCAACAACTAGCTCAGCTGTGAACTCAGGAACGCTCATCCACTGATGACCTCGATGCCCTCACCATCCAATCACCTCTCTTCTCAGTGCAGCTAGATCAGGGGTCCAGC